CGCTCTGCATTTGTGGTGGGTATTTTTCATCGAGCGTGGGTATTGGATACCTATAAATGTTTAATACAATTCAAAATCGATCATTAGGTAATGCTGTTAAAAGTTGTTTTTAGTTTCCTTATAATATTATTCAAGAAATTCAAAATTATATTTTTTTCTTTAAACTTCAGGTTTGCATATATGTAAAACATCATAAATAGGTTTAGGAACTATATTTCCAATTCATATTGTCTATAATAATTATTTTTTTTTATGATATGAGAAAAAACGATTTTGATGATAAAAAATCTGAACTCACTTTTGCTGCATAATCGATTTTGAGAGTACTTGGTACCTTTGTCCATTAAGTAATTGAGATTCTTCACTGTGATATTGTGTGTGTTTATTGCAGGTAAATAAAAATCAATTCTTAGCTAAAGATATATTTTATTTTATATGTTATACATGTATACATCACAGTATATAATAATAATAATAAAAATAATAAAACATGAACACATGTGAGAAGGGAGGCCTACTAGGAACCTTCTCATATTCTTGTTAAAATAATTTTTAAAATTTGGTAGGTTGAACTTTTTCACCAAAAAAATATCACGTGTAAGTTAGTATCGTAAATTGGAATGAATAATTGTATTGTATAAATAACTTGCAGTTAGTCTAAATATTTTAAGAATTGTATTGTGTTAGTGTATAGACAATAATTTTAGTACTTACAAGAAATGGTGAAAAGTTTTAATTCTCTAAGAGTACAATTTATTGAATGACAAGATAATAAATAATAACCGACAATTTTCATATTACAGATTACCGTTAAAAAAGTATGTTTGGAAATTTGAAAATATAAAAATAACGATGATTGTTTTATCATCACAGGCTGTAGTTCTTACTAAATGACCAGAATGGATGAACTGTATACTCATTATTAATATTACATAATAATTATTGTATTATTAATGGAAACATTGTATTATTTTTGACGAAGACGTCGATTTCGTTATGATTATATTATTAACTAGTGTGCGTGTGTAAATGTGTGATACTGTAGTCTGTACGACTGCACGGCTATTTTACACTTGGACCAGTTGTACCCAGACCATGAATTTATCTGGTGTTAAGTAATAACAAATAATATGTTGAGGATTTGACGAATTATATTGAATTTCTAATTAATTGTTTTTTTATTTTGAGTATGGCCATCCCAACTATAAATAATAATGAATATAATATGTGTGTAGGTATTTAATATTTACATTATAATTGATTTTTCAAATTAGTTTTTATACAATATCAATGATATTGTAAACATAAAACTACCTTGCTATCAGATATTATTTATATTTTATACGTTTTTTGTTTAAGTTCTAATTATGTAGCTATTATAATTGAAAAAATAGAATAAAATAGGAAATTAAAGTAAAATATTAAGGGTACGTTGGAGAGTTTTGGAAAGAAAATTAAAAGTTGATTGAACTCTTAAGTAGTGACGTGTGGTGTGATGGTTACATGCGTTAGCTACTCATTCAATTTTGACTGTAATGTAAGTTTTCGTGAAAAATAAAACAAATTTGTATACCTAATATTCTATGGACTACAGTTTATAGGTATTCTAACTTAGTAACTTATCTGAGATAGGTAAATAATCTAAGTCTGTAAATTTACTCTAATGATTTTTTTTTTTTTTATTTTTCTTTAATATTAAAATGGCCATAACAAAATTAATTTAATTTAAATTATCTTATACATTTTACAGAACTCACATATGAGTTATGGATATTTAGTTATTCAAATATATTAGTATTAGTACTTAATATTATTGTGTAATAATATTTTGTAGGTACAAAAAAAAATACGTATTAAGTAACGTGTGGTATTACATACCGTTTATTAACTTTAATATACACTGATGGTCAATATACAAACAAATAATATACTAACATATTATAGTAGGTGGGCAAACACAGCTGATCTTAACACATGTTATCAGTACCTATCGCTTAATTGAGCTTAAACTTAAAAGTTAAAGGTATATTCTACTATATTAAATGTTTTATTTCTTATACTATAATCAATATTCAATACTTATGCTGTTAAAATTGATAAAAATCAAATAAGTAAAATAATAATCTGAGCGGTATGAGATACTGCACGTTACTAGTCAAGGGTTAAGACTTAAGAGTGATGGAGATAAGTGATAGGTGACTGACTAAATTAAGGCCACTTGAACGGTGATTTTTTTGGATCGATTTTTCCCAGTCTGCTGCTTACGTGAAACCTTTCAAACACTTTTAGTGCCAAGAAAATAATTTTCAAATAGAAAAAAAAAATCATATTTTCGTAAATCTGAAAATTGCTCAATTTCATTGAATGTGCAAAGTATGATTTTCATTTTCTTCGGCCGTGAGAACTATATTTAATACAAATAGCCGATCAAAAATATAAGCCAAAAGTAATACAACAAAAAATACTTTTTATTGTTTGTCAAAAAGGAATTTTATTGTTTGTAATTATCTAAAATAATATTCTTCACGTGTACTTTAATTGTTTCTTTTTTACACATATCCGTTTCTTTTAATTTTTTTGTTCTTCTCTAACAAACATTTAATAATATAGGTACTATTTTTGTTGAAATGTTTGTGTTTTGTTCCTGCAGTAAATTATTTAAAAACCAAACATATATTATGACGCGCATTCCCTATTATGTTGGCAACGCGATAGTTTAATTATTTAACAATTAGTTTGTGTTTTGAATACTAAACAATATTCACAATATTTGGTGTGGGTAATCTTCTTACGGAGAATCACTCATAAAGGTGCATTTCGTGTTAGCAGCCTATATAGATTCCGAGCTTTCGCGATCGAATAGTTTAGTAGGTAAATAAATTCAACTAATTGAGATGTGTAAACCAGATTATAAGAGATTATTAGTAAGTGCATACGAGCTCATGAGATTTTGAAGGTATGACTCGAAATCCAGTAGGTGATATATATTTAAATCACATTAGGCTCATATTATTAATACCAGTTTGAAATGTACGCGTTTGATTGCCGGATCGCATACTCTACTGATTGTAGTAAAACTCAGCATCGCGTTAAGCCTATAAGTGACCCTAAATGTAAAAACATGGCTAGTGTGACTGACGCATATTGTTTTCCAATAGTCAGAAGGAAATATTATGTAGTTTTATAAAATTTAACAAAAAAAAGTTAACAATAAAAATAATAATAAATCGAATTTTCACAGTGACGACACATATTGTTAATATATATTATATAACAGTTATTGATCCTTTATATTATTAAAAAATAACAATAAACATTTCATTTAAATATTAAATCAAATAATTATTGTTTTAATTTCAAAAAAGTTTATTGTCCACGATGATCAGGATACTGTCAATAACATTTATTCGAATAACTATAATCTATAGGTACGATTTCATGTTAAAGTTTCTTAGTTTCTATCAATTTGTTCAATAAATAATGTATTTTCAACTTTTTATAATATAACATACAAATTGGATTTGGTAAAAATTAGGAAACTTTATAAAAAAAAGCTTTTAGATCTTTTCTGTCTAATTGCGCTGAAATTACAGAACATAACTGCAATATTACATACAGACAATATAATTTCATTTTATTGTTTTAAGTTCGAAAACTTCATTACGTACCTTCGTGTATAAATATATTATAAGACTATAATACGTGTATGATGTACCTTTACAGTATTTCACTGAGGGAAATTTAGTACCGACTACTTACAATTAACAGTATAATATTCATACGAGGTATAAGTTATCTGCATATTTTGTGTATTTTGTGTATATGATGATGATAAATGCTGGCTGCATATATTATTATATTATTATACTTATTACTCATTTGTTTTTGAAATATTTCATTGAAATAGCGATTTTAGTGATAAAAATATGGTCCAATGGTATTATGCAGTCAACTATAAGGACACGAATAGTGTCTTCATGTTCTAGCATAAAATAATATGCTTACTGTGTTTATGAATGCCAGGTGAGTGTATAGTTACCATTTACCAATAAAAATTACAATATTCACAAGAAATGAATGAACTCGTAAAGTCATGAAACATCATAATACTTCCGTATTATTGTATTGGTATTGGAGAGTACGAGACTTATAATTTCCTTTTTTTTTATAAAACCGTCATAATATATTAGAAAATATATTATATTGATATGATCTGATCTGGATTGTTGTGGAAAATGAGATAAAACACTTGTAAAAATTCTATAAATTATTGTAATTATTATTTCATAAACATTCATCTTAATATTCACATTAACACACAGTATTATGTAGTTATTTTTTTTATTGTTGTTAACATTATAAACTATAATTTATAAAAATAATAATTGATTTAAACAAGTGCGTGAATCGTGTGCTAATAAATTATCATAAATATGGGCATTTAATTTTTTACTCCTCATTTAAAACAAGTTAAAAAATGTGTTACAAATATGTTCGACTTAAGCCTTGTATTTATACCGATGGAGTGTGTCTCGTGGTGTTTGTCACCTAATGGCCATTAAACATTACAATTTTCCGCTCAAAATGAATCTCGGAACCATACATATTTATATAGGCACAATTCTGTTATAATATTGGCTACCTGTCTATTGTTTGAGAATTTATCTGATTACGTTAGAAACCTACCTATATGGAAATTAGTAATTTAACTTTTAAATATTTACATTAATGTTAGTCATCTCAAATGTTAATCAAAAAAATTTGAATTTTCTTAATTTCGAGTTCAAGTGAACCAAAAATTACAATCTATATATATATTTATGGTATAGTATAACAACTGTGGCTTTCTACAATTTAGTAATAAATAACAATTATACGATGTCATTTTGTTTTAAAATTAATAGGTAATCAGAAAAAAGTTTAGGGGGGAGGGGGCAATCACCTCGAGACACTATATTATATGAAGTATTATTTTTGTGCAATAATCGTTTGTTCTTATTTTAATATGACATATTATTCTTATGGTTTGCTTGTGGAGGCAACGGCTGTTTGGCTTCGAAGTATTTCTTGGCCCCTTTGACGCCCACGCGGCCGACGTCGATCTCAGGCAGGGCACACAACACTCGGCGGGCCCATTCCACGTTTTTGCGTTGCGTTATCAGAAACTGTAAAAGTTAATAATAATAATACAAACAAACAAACACATACATATTTAGAGGATTGAAATTTGACGAGCAGGAAAAATAAGTTATTGCTTTTGATTCAAAGTTTATCTGTTAACTTTTTTTTTTATTTAAAAACTATAAAATGCATACCCACATTTCTTAATTAATCATATTATTATTTTGAGCATTATAATCTCATAAAACATGTGTTTGATACATTTTATGTTTATGTCGTATATTCCAGTTTCATTTACACGTTTACCAATATCTTAAATGGAAATGACATACAGTCGTCGCCGAGAAATGCATATGGAGCTGGTACAAAAGCATATTTATGCTCGCTGTATATTGAAATATTGTCAACTGGTTATCATGGAGACAAATAGTATAAATTAAATGACAAAACATACAGACGATAATGCTCTCAGGCGTAAGTGTTTCACGAATAACTCGATTGATAACCAATCCCGGTTGCAGATCGTAAGAAAACAGAACCATAGAAACAATGTCGAAGTGATCAATAATTTCACACGTCTTTATATTATACTTACAAGAAACATTTTAGTGCTTAAAGAGAGGTTAATTTATGACACTTTTAAAATTTTCGGCCAACTTTGAGGATGACACTTTTCACTGAGACTATTATTAGTTTTACCAATTTCGGCATTTGGTAGTGTGATAATAATTTCCGGCCGTGGAAACTATTTAAAATATAATCACGTCGCATACAAAGTATTTCGAAACCCTATAGGACATCACCCAGCGCGGTCGCGCACTCAACCGTTTACACAAAGCGATTAAAATATTTAATTATAATATTTAATTTAATGCATTAACCTACAAACCATTTTCTTACGCGCCTCCATACGGAATTCCGAGAATCCTAAGAGTTTAAAACAGTTTCATATCGTCCGCATCTTTTTCGATTTCCCGTGTCAACATGATAATATATTGCTTTGGTATAACATGCCACCCCAACCCATAGGGAAGAAGCATATCTGCGTTTTTTCTATAGTCGTGCATTCTACATAGGTATTGTGATTATATATTATTTTGTTGTATCCACTTTGTGAATAGGCTGCAGTATGCCTTCCTTTGTACGATCTTGTTTCAACCGAAAATCAGTTTCCATAATAATATTATCATACTACGAAATAATATAATGTAATTGTAGCACTAAATCCTGCATATTATTATTATTTTACTTAGATGCGTGCTGCGAAATTCAATATAATGCTGAATTAGGCTGTTGACAACAAGCCGACAAATCGAAGTATCTATAGGTTAGTTTTATGTTTTCTATGTCAGTTTTTACACTTAGTTATTAATTCTAAAAAATACATTCAAAAAATGTATATTTTTCAGTTAATACGTCGTTATGTATGTCACTTGAAAAAGGTTTACAATTTCAATTGTTACATTTTACTACTAACCAAGTTTAAACTTGTAAGAGGATAAATCATTTTATTAAAAATAGTTTTTAGGTTACTAATAATATTATAACAGTTTTAAAATAAATTAAAATGAAAAATTTAAAAATTTGTTTAGGTTTCTATTCACAAATATTTAACCTGCTTACCTATGTACTTAAATATATTTTTTATTATTTATTTAATCAGATTCAACATGAGCTATGCACAATAGAATTCATTATAATATGAACTAAAACACTATTTGTTGAGATATCATTTCTTCGTAAGTACATAATAATAACCCATAAGTAAAACGTTGTAAAAAATAAATAGATGCGAAATTCGTTGTTTTAGAAAAAATTATGTAGCATTAGTTTATAATTGTAGACATTGTTAAGACTCTAAGAAGACAATGAATAACACAATTAGAAAAAACCGTGGTGGTTTCGTAATACGTGGTCTACATAATTCTCATTGTCTACAGAACAATAATTTCAGTACAAGATAATATTATGATTAACATTATTATTGTAGAAAATAAATCATTTTTTTTTGCTAGAGTAGACAGCATTCTCCTGAACTTGAGTAGTTTGGGTTTGGATAGACTTAAGTTGCAGTTTTTTATATTATAAATGTAGGTGTATTGTGTTAGGTACTTACTTTTTTTAAATGCAATCTGAAATACAAATTATATTTTTTTGATATGCATTTTTTTTTCAAATCAACAGCAAATATATTATCTTCATATTGATAAAATTATGTGACATTTCATCGTTAAACAACTATTTTAAATAGAAAAAATGTATCTAATTTATTTATGTCTTAACTAGGGTTATTAATTTTTGAATTAAAACATAAAAAAACCATTACCTATCGATGTTGCTTAATGTAACGTATAAGTTACTTAGTTCATCACCTTACTCAACATCTAAACTATAGAAGGTTATTTTTTAAAAGAATGTTCTATATTGTAATTTTGATTTCAACTAATTTTTTTTTGTAACATAAATAAAAAATTCACTGCCAAAAATTAGATTGTGATATTACTAAATCATTTTTACAACAACGGAAAAAAATGTACAAATTACATGTAAATATTGAATAAACACAATCACACTGACCTCACGAAAACTCAGTTTTCCATCACCATCTTCATCTGCGTCTTTGATAAGCCGTACAATCGCCGAGTGAGTCCATGGAACACCACGCACCATCATCATTCCTTTGAGATCTTCGACATCCAAATATCCATCGTTATCCGTGTCATATCTAATTATTATTTTTATAAAAATTATGCAGCTTCTAAGCACGCTTAAGTTACTAGTATTATAATAATTATAATACTAGTAACTTATTATATTTTATTATATAATTATTATATTACCTAAAATAAATTAAATTGGTTATGAAATAGGTATGATTTATTTAGTTTAAGTTAATACGCTGTTATGAGTTATTAATTTGTAGTGTTTGAAGTATGAAATATTTCACAAAAACGTGAAACATTGAAATTTTTTAACACAAATAAAAACATAATTTATATATTTTTTTAACACAATGTTCAGTGTTCTAAATTTTAATAACAGAATTCAGTAGGTATATAATTTACATGTATACTATTGTATACCTACTTGTATCATTTAAACATTAAAATATTTAAAATGTTGAATACCATTTAAATGTATAATACCAAAGGTTAGGTATACATACAGGTAAAATATAATTATGAAGGTAATTTATGTCAATTATATGTAAATATAAAACTTATTTAAAAATAAAATAAAATTTATTAAAATACTGAAATATTTCACACATTTGAAATATTTCACGAAATAATTCAGCTTTTTTAATTTCATGAAATTTTCAAACACTTTTAATTTGTTTTAATAATCGAAATGAAATATATATTTTTAAAACATTGTATACTACAAATTATTAAATAATTGTTTATCAATGATACAACTATTATAGGTACTAATAGTAATAGTTATTATTCATTATCTTTATTAATAATTTTCTAATCCATTGATTTCTATTCTATGTATTCTATGTATTCAACCATAAGAATATGGGTTTCAGTTGAATAATAGATAATGTCATTGCAAATAAAAATATGTAAACATGCATTGTGTTAATTATAACAGAAAAATATAGTGCAAATATTATAGAGACTATTAATGTAACTATGATAATGTCTATAATAGAATTCCTTTAAATTAACATGCGATGAGACTATTATAGTAATATCATTAAGTACTAATATCATAATATATTTTTAAAATTCACGTTACCTAGTAAACGTTTTTTCGTAACGTTTTATTAAATTTGGTGATAGTTCTGGAAATTCTTTTAATATATATTGTCGCTCTTTGAATGAAAGATTTGAGAACATTGTTTTATTTAGATTTGAAGCAAAATAATAATAAATACAAAACTGTTCTTGTTTATTTTAATTGTGTGCGTTATAAAAATCCAAATCAGTTTTTGTAGCGAAGATAATATCACTTCAAATAGACGATAGTCGATAATGCGGAATCGATCAATCTGTTACATATTATCACAATAACTGTTTTATGTTTGGATTGTGGTGCTATTTAAATACTATTGATCGAAACTTACCGGAAATTCACGGACATAACCATGACCACGGAAAATCGTCATTAGCTATGATAATCCCATTGAAAATTACGAGCTTATTTGTCAAATCATGTTGTTTTTTTTAATATTGTCCTCGGCCTTGGTGGTGGGTGAATGCGTTCACGGGGACATCGTGCAAAGGTCGGAGATGGTTTTTCATTTTTCAGATGCATTTCATTGAGGAAAAAATGCAGAATAATAAAATAATGTTATGTTTAATTTGCTTCATGAGTATTAAGTATGAATAGGTATCTGGTTCATTCTAGTTTTTAGAAATTTAAAAAGAAAACCACCTAAAACGTATTATTTTTTTTTAGTGACTTACACATGACACATGCATATACGTTGTAGTACGTTTCATTTTGTTTCACCCAACTACATCTCAATAGAAAAAAGTTTATTATTGCAAAACGATGGATACAGCACTGATTGCAACCTATACCTACTGAATTAAGCCATTACGCACTTTTCCTTGATAAAATAGTCCCAAGCGTATTCCAATTAAGTTTGACTTTAACGTCTAATTATGAAAAAACTTAGCTAAGTATCCTTAAATATACATCATTATAAAATTAATTACTTAAGTGTTCGGTATAATTTTAGTTTTGTTTAGCTCTCATAAAGAAAAAAAACCACACATTTAACAGAGGGTTTTAAAATTTCATTCAGATGGAAAACTGTTGTTTTGAAACTAAAGTAAAATAAAAATTGAAATATAATGGAAGTAGGCATCTGTTGAAAATAATACATTCAATGATACTTATTTATATTGAAGCTTTATTCCACCTAAATTTCTTTTCAAATTTCAGCCAACTATTATAATTAAAATATGTATCTAATACATATAAATAACTCGTATCAATGGTGTAAAATGTCTGGGCTGAATATCAATTACTTAATAAGTTTTTTTTTTTCATTTTGATAAACAATTTTGTTAAATAAACACATTAAATAATATACATAGGAATTTCAAACCACTCTACTGTGGTACAAAAGTGGTCATTACAATTATCCGGTTTTGTCACTTTATTTTTATCTTATTGCCTATGTCTATTACTTAAAGAAAATTTGATCACTGTTTTCCATTGTTGACATAATTTATAGATCGAGTACATTTTACAGGCTATGTAACTTACCTTCATTTCAATACTGACAATAAAATAAATTTAACTGTATGACACATTTAAAAATAAAAATACATTATTAAAATTATTAAATTCAGCCAAAAGTTATTTTTTTATTTTTATAAAAAATATACAATCTATACAATAAATATGTGTGAGAAAAGAAAATATCATTATTATTGGGATTGCGTGATATCCAAAGTTAAATCATATTTAAATGCATTATATTTATTTAGCAATTATTACGGAAAAAAACTATAAATTATTTCTAAGTATAATAATTTTATTTAATATTCATTAATGGTTACAATATAACTAGTAATAAATATATTATTTTTAATTTTATTATATTCCATTATTAATATTTAATAATATTATTTAAAACTCAAAATCAATTTTGTTTGAAACGATAATAATTAAATGATATATTAACCTAAACTTAGTTAAGAACTTGCCAAATGGATTAAAATAGTAAATATAAATACTTACTAAAAGGAAGAAAAATTATTTTTAAATAGAAGATGCCTTCTTAAAAATGAAATATAGTACTTTTTAGTAAAAAATTAATATTATACTTACCTGTTTCGGAAGAAAAAAATATGGATTAGTAGGAAAATTATGGTTTTAACTGTTATTAATAATTATATTTTTTTACCTGCTTTAGATTTTAAGTTGTTATCTAATATCGATGTTATCTTAAGAATACGATATGTAGGTATTTCAATGTTTCTAGTCATTTCTAGTTTCTCATTAAACTTATTACTTAGTTATGCTGAAGCCTTCAGCCAAAGTAATAAAGTAGCTAAAGTAAGATCGATATCACTCTCATATTATGACTCATCAAATCGTAAATACGAAAATAAAAACAAAAACAAGATATGAAGAAAAAATCGTCACATGTATATTTCCGTAAAACAATTTTGTAACGATTGAATAATAATCAAACACAATTTACACACTTACTCAGTAATAATAATTAATTAATTATAGTAATAATAATAGTTTTAATAATATTAATAACCGTCCTTAGGACAAAACGAACAAATTTTGATCGATATATTTATGTATTTATTATATTATGCATAATTCTAAATAGATATGATAGAAGTATATATTATTATTAAATGTATATTACACATTATATTGTATATAAACACACACGGATAGTATTTGTAAATTAAACTTCGATCGAATACACATTATTTATAATCGAAAGAAAAATAGCATTAAATTCTAAACAGAGTTGGCATCTTATATGTGCGAATACGATTACACTTATTGACTTATATTTAATTATATTATATAAGTAGCGACAACGTGAATAAAACAACTTTTTTTTCTAATTATGTAAATATTTTTTTAAATTAATGAACATAGAGCTATTAAAAACTTAAAAAAAGTTACTACATAATATTATAATTTAAATGTTAATTATATTATTTATGCGTTGATACTTGATAGTAAAAAGATTATTAACTCTAATATAACACCATAATAATATAGTACAATATAGAACATAATATAAACCGAAAGTTGGAAAAGAAATAAACTAATAAATAATAATATATAATAATAAAGTTTTAATACAAATTTAAAAAAAAAAATACTTTAGTAGTAATTATCAACTCGGTTGAAAAACTAAATTCTAAGATGAAACAGTGTTACTAAATACCTAGTTAATTAGTAGTTGAACAAAATAGTTTTCATTAAACATTCCCTAATATACGAATTTTAATTTACTTGATAAAATCCCCCAAAAAAAATGTTTATTCATACAAACGAATAGTAGTAATTTCTAATGCCTTAAAAATTAAATAAATGTATCTTAGGTAATTAATAAATTATAATTATATATAATAATAAATTGACAAAATAAAAATGTATTTTACAGATCTAGCTACCTATCTACTCAAAATATAAAATAAAAATTCAAAAATGTCGTGTGTGTTTTTAATTTTAAAATGTATTATAATATATCAGTATCATTATTAATATTTTGTTTAGGCATATAATTAAACTATTATACCTATAAATAAATAATTACTACGGGTAACTCGTTATCTTTATTGATACCGATATTTATTATTAAATATTTACATAAAATATAATATTATTTATATCAATAATAATAAAAAGTTTATACACATTTTTTAAAATGTCATACCTTATCTCTCAGTAGACTAACGATGTCGCTGGTGCGCGAATCAATGACAGTTTTACTTCAACAATTGTTTTCCAACTTTATAAATACAAACAACAACAATATTATTACCTAGCCATTAATATATAATAAATTTAAACACATATAATTTGAAAATCATTTTTTACAAAAATTATAACACTTAACAACTGTCCTCCAGCAAAAAACCAGCATTATTGGTAATTTGATAAATTACTCACTATGGATGTTATAATATAGAAATTATTATTATACAGTTTTACATGGTTTGATTAAATTTGATATAGTTAAACGTTAAAGTGAAGATACAAGGAATTCGTCTAGTCACCTCACGCTCAACACGTGAAATAGTATTATGGAGGACGTTTCCAAGATTGGTACCACGTTTATAACAAAGATATTTGTAAAAAAATTTAGGCGGGTATTGGAATCTGTTTTTTAAAAAAAACTATCTACTTGAAATCAATTTTGAATTACACACTTTTTGATACAGCCCAACGAAACTAACACGAATTTAACAGAATTATTACGCTATGTCCTAGCTGGGCGTAACACTAAACGCAACATAATATCATGTTTATGTGGCACGATTTTCGTACTAGATTGGACATATCATTAATAAATTCGAATGGCAGAAACATTACATAGTATTTAACGAGACAATATTAAAATATAAGAAACAGATCATATTAATAATAATAATTTCATTTAGATAATTCCAATTGTCAATTATCATTTTCATGACTCGTGATTAAGATATTCCGGTAAAAAAAGATTTCAAAATGTCATTACTGAGTAATTCAAAAGACAATAGAAGTGCATATATACTGGCAAAAATGCAATTATTATACGAAAAATGAATTTAGTAGAGTTTATAAATACAAACACTTAGATGCAACATGAGTACAAATGTTAGAAACGAACATGGGGAAAATAAACAGAGGAAAAATCTTTGAATAATATACATTTAGGAAGTTATTAACAAAATACATTCACAATACAATTAATAATAATAATAATATTGGGTAATATTAGTAATAATGATAATAATAATAATAATAATTAGGACTATAGGACTATGCATTTTATGTATAAATTACATAAAATAATATTATCATACGAATACACGTTTGTAATAATATTTTTAAACGCAGCTTTCCTGTTGGCTAGACATCAATGGAGTTCGGACCGTAACGATTTCCCGATGATGGTAAGGTGGTAACCGGGACGATACCGCTATGGTTGTCGACATATGTTGTTCAGGTCTATAGCCGTTGTTGCTATAACCAGGTCCAACTGATGTAGCGGCTGAATCAACATTAAACAATTTTAATATTGATATTTATCTTTCAACAAAAATCACCTCAAAATGTTTTACCTAGTTAGGTAATACATTTGTATTATGTGTTAATTAAAATATATTAAATATTTTCATTTGTGTAGCGAACATATTAGTCAACTGAAATAACTACACTACAAAGACTATTATATTATATCTTCCATAACATTTAAATATTAAATACGATTGATTAATCGAGTTACAAAAAAACATATTGATATGAAAAAAATCATTTGTTCAAAATTTAAACAATGAACCTTTGTTTTAGTTAATTTTTATTTCAATACGTAATATTATGTAATGATAATATTATATTATAATTGATATATAATATATAACTCGTTTATAGGTCAAATATTGTTATGTTGATTCCTTTTCAAACATAATTTTGTAATATCTTATTTAATAATGAGAATTTTCGTTAAATTCTACACCTAGTTAAATTACCTATGGAATGTATAAAATTATAAAACTCTGTAGCTTAATATTGTACTATCCTCAACTGGGCTCACAATATTTTAATTCACGAATGCTAATTGCCAATTAAAATGTACTTTTAATAAAGAAAATGTGTGAAGGTTTTCAATTTATCAAATTAAATCACAATATGTTTTCCTTTCACGAAATTGATTACACTGAATAATGGCAAGTAGAATTGATTTTCTATGTATAGGTAAAGGATGTGATAATAGATTTGCTATAATCACTTCAGGGGTGTTTCAGGATTTGAGGTAATGTATATCACACAAACTTCTCAGCTTATAGGTACCCGAAATGTTTATCTAACTTAAGTTTTACCAACCAATTATAAACGGTTGTACAGATTTATGATTAACTAAATGGATAGTGGTTTACCCGAAAATAGTTGTTCCAATGAGTATAAACGATAGTATTAACGTCTAACATACAATTTTATCATCAAAGTAATCTATTATATTTTATGGATATATACAAAAAAAAAAAATTTCAGTATAAAATTATTTTAATTGGATTATTATTGATTTATGCGTATTGCTTGTATGCGTGGTAGTTATTTATATTAAAAACAAACAAAATATAAAACTTTATAATTTATAATATTTTTTTTAGGTAAATTGTAGGAACTGAGAATACGGATAGAGAGAAAAACAGGTAAAAAAATAATAATTAAATATACCCTATAAAAAAATATTCTATGCTATAAATACAAATAACGGTATAAAATATCATTTAATATTCATTAGGCTTTATTTTATAAAAATAACATAATATATCGTAAAGACCTATTATTTAATATGCGATATTATACTAAATTGAACATTCTAGATGGTCAGTAAACACCTGATGTCATACTATAGTATATGTCATATTATTGTAGTTTTAAATTTAATTTACCAATTTATATGTTTGTCGAGATTATATATTATATTTAGATGCATTTGTCATATTAATCTGTTTTAATAATTATGCAGATTGACAATACCATAACAATAATTAATACATTTATCAACACACCAAGTATTATATTATAACATATTAGGTTATAAGGTTATACCTAGCTAGTATAAGTATAATATTTAGCTGTCACACCCACGCACATTGCATATCGAATTTTTCATGAAATGGATATCCAATACATTTAATTTGATCATAAAGGTCATGATGTTGTTTTTATTTTCATGTAATGGACACAAATTGTATCCAATTCTTGAAATGGATAGGTACCGTTAATATACACTTAGTGCATTTTTTTTTTTAAATTTACACTTCTTATACCGGTAAAAAAGCACATGTAACCTTAAACCTATATAATTATAATTTATAACAAAATAATATACTAATAATATACCTACTAATATTAAGCTAAAAAATGAATGAAATTAGTCTTTTCCATTATTTGAATATCAATAAAGGATACCTCCTAATATACTATATTTTTATTAATTAAGTAATATCGTTGGTATACAATTTTTGGAATAGGGTTGCAGTTTCAACATATGCTAATAACGAATAACATAATTATGTCATGAATATATTATGTGACATACTGTTTTATTTTTATTTTAATATTAGTTTATTATTTTTTTATAACTACACATTGCTAATGTAGAAATTTTTGGTTGATATTCCACAAAAAGTATTCCATATAGTGTAAATTAAAAAAAAATACACTAAATTCAAAATAATGTTTCCCTTTCTCAAAATGGATAAAATGTGTAAGCATTACAATATGAACCTAAAAACGACTAAAACGTTATGATAGAAGTTCATGAAACGGAAATCCATTTCGATTGCACTACATTATGAGAGTGAAATATAAATTTTGAAAATAAAATTGTTAAAATGTATTTAGATATATAATATATTAATAATAATATATTATACTTCAAGAATGAAGGAAGATCATTCCGTTTTACTGAAATAACGAACCTATATCAATTAGTTAGGTATACCTATACGTTAATTTGTTACTATATCATTTTAATAACAACTACTCGGGATATTACATAAATTAGATTTAGTTTTTTTAAATCGTTATCATTTTATTGTTACTATAAACTATGGACGTATTATCAAATGAAATGCGCAGTGGACTCACGTGTCGGAGTGAACTGACGGATGGGCGTGAGCCAATACCGTCGACCGGAAGTGTCGGGTAACCGGATCGTTCATCGTCTGATGATTCGGCAGCATCCAAGTTTTCATCATCGTTGTCATTTAATCCCATCATCGGCTGTTGTTGGACAACACGGTATCCGATATTGCCTCTGCTTCCGCCTAGATTAATATAATATTATTATGTGTAGTAATTCCGACGATGATTATCAACAAAAATAGCGTTTTCAACAAATAATTTCACACGGTAGGTACATAATATGCAGCGTAACATATTATTTAGGTAGGCCCACAACAATTATAATGCAATATTTGAAATTCTGCAGTGTTTCCGATATGATATAGATTACCTATGTCGTTTGTTCGATTGCTGCAATAACGGAACTTCAATTTTATATACACGGTGTGTAGGAAAATCAAATCGTTTCAGGCTCACTTGGCGGAAATATATCGTTACGTCTAGTAAAATATGTCATAAATGTATATACTCTGTAAGTTGTTATCGGTATTTCACCTTTACAAAAATATATATATATATACAGCTTCCAGGGCATTTTATAATAAAGTTTCGAATTTTTTACACGTGTGATGACTTTGACTCGTTGACCAGTGAGTCGTTTACTGTTTAGGCGTGTGGGAAACGTCATTATTAATCGGTAAAGCGGTCACTCGACGTAGGTACTTATAAGGTGAAATCCAATTATCAAAAACTTGAAAACCTATGCTGATCTAAATTCGATTTTCACCAGTGCACCGGTTCACCGTTCATATTGGAATATTTAATAATTTTCCACATTGTGTCTTTTCGGGATTCAAAGAACGACGTAAGTAGAAGTGTAACGTACGCCCGTTTACATTTTGATTTTTAAATAAACATTATGTTTAGATACGCTTACTTGTCGGAATAAATCAAAAACGAAGAAAATGGTAACATAGGAATGTTTATCATCGGAAATGAGAGAGGTAAACGACCATACATTTGATGGATAATTTAATTGAATCATTTACTAGTTTATTGATTACATATCATTGTGAAATACAAAGTATATATGACACCTAATTGTGCACAGTGCACTAGAAAAATACAAAGAAATATAAGTGCTTTACTCTACTTATTAAAAAAAAAAAATTATAATATTGTTTTAAACTTGTTTAAAACTAATATAGGTTTATATGTTTTTATACTTTATAGCCCATAAATAAATATTATTATGATTTTTTACTAATATTTTTACCAGTATAAGATTAATTATAGTCGCGTGATTAAATTCGAAAATTTCATTACATTTTTAGAAAAAAAATTAAAACAATGATTTATAGTTGCACATAACGTGGAATTTAATTTTTAATTAAAAAAAAATTCTGAAAGACAAAAACCATCCCTAACGCAAAAATAAACTAAAAAATAAAGCAATTATTATACCTATATAAAACAGTGACTATAATAATATTGACATAGAATATGGAAGCTTTATAAACCAGATTTACACCTACATAATTAGGTTCGCTGTCAATACCTATATAAAGTGCTTACGTAGGTTATCAATCGAATCACATTAAAAAATGCTTAATATATAATATATATATTATATAATTATATTAACCTATGTAACTCGAAATTATTCAGATCCTTTATCGTGATTCCGCCGTATCAATAACTTTTGCCTAAGATGCTATAATAGACCAATTTTATCCCCCTTTACATTTTATTTTACTTTCGTATTTTCATTATATTTTCACTGGATAGCTAAAAGGTGTGCAACTGTTATTATAGGATGGTCAGTTTTTAACACAACCGTATTGTGAGCGACTAAGGTTGAGATTAAAATAAATGCAAATATGCTGTTAAACGCACTTTTAATTTTCGTCGGCGGGATCAGGTCTGGATTTTTGTCTGGGTCCGATGCCGCAGCCGCGTACTCGTCGTCGTCGTCGTCCGCTTTCTGCTTGCACACGGCGATTACGGCAGCTCCACCGCCAATACCTCCACCCATAACGCTGCCAGTTCCGGCGCCACACAAGTCCTGTCGACGCTGGTTCCGGTGTCGTCGAGATCGCACACGGAGGGCGCACATCACCGCAGCTGCGGCCACGGCTGACACAATGGTGATGGCCAAAAGGCCGGCGACCACTGGCGTCAGCCGGAAACGGTCGTTGCCACCGGCTCCCACGGCAGACGAACCTGAAATTAAGTAATATTATTTATATTATATTGTATACTATTATATGAGCTTAGAAATTAAACTCAAATGACGTTTGGTAAAGAAAAACTAATTTTTATCGTGGTAACCTGATCACGTCAACCGATGTGAGTGACGCTAAAAAGGATTTTGGAAGTCCATAAAGTAGCTCTTAAAAATATGATTTTTAATGAAATAAAGTAGGTAATTAGGTCATACATACGTTACAGACTACAGTAAGTCGAATTTAAGGTTATGTGTGGCGTACATTTTCATAAGACTTTTATTTCATTTTTAAATTAAATTACAATTGAATTACAATTTATTATAATAAGCTATTGATAATAACTAATAAGTAATAACTAATAGCCCACTTGTATGATACTCATAATTTTATTATATTACAAGAGTATAGTATCATAATAATAATTATCAGATACTAAACAAATGTTTTTAACAGTGACAATAAATCAATTGTTAGATGAAAATAATAACAATTTCTCGTTGAAGGCACTTAATAAACCTAAATATTGTAGAGGATAATATGAATGCATCCTTTATCTTTATCCAGAACTGATTGAATAATAATATTATTATCCTATCTACGGCGGCGAACACGACGCAGAAGAATACCATTTTTTGAATACTTAAACGAATCACACATTGTACAATAGTCTACAATTAGTGGAGTTGATAAAATAATATATATTATTAATTGTGAGTGAATAGCAACTTCCACCCTATAGTAATACTGGACGGCCGAAATATTACTGTGTGATTTTAACGCCTTATCGTGGACGAATCCAAACGATCGGTAAATATAACAATATATATACTATAAATCTGACTATATCAAAAATAGGTTAACTGCAAAAGTTTTCGAATTTTGAAATATCCACACGCGTTTGCCCCCAGAGGAAATTACGTGGTGGTGCTGGGTGATATTGCGCGAATAATCTAAACATTTTCTTATCGAATGACAAATTTATGCGTTAGTGGATTGCAAATTTAATGTATACAAATCCGTAAATTTGAATAAAACAACGCTTCTGGCGTTCACAAATAAATTCTATCCTTTAAATAAACTACATTGTGGGGACCCCTATTATAGTTAATATAACATAATATTAATTATTATACATTTTGTGCGGACCTGTATATGGATAAAGGTAGTATATCCAGGTATATAGGTTTATATATTTTCCATTTCATCGTTGTATTACAATATTATTACTATTTGAATAGTGTTTACACTGATACTAGTAAATCATGTGAATAACTAGGTCTGAAAATAATGATATTGATTTTTATATATATTTAATTATTAGTTTCAAGTTTGTAGTCGTTGAAGTACAAAACATAGGGATCTGTATACATTTTATTTTAATTACTAAGTTACAATAGTTATGAATTTCGATATACTTATGACCTACATATAGCTTAATGAGAAATAAAATTGAGTAATGGTGTGTTAATAATTTTAGGATACTTGTATTATTATTTGTTTTTAATGTGCTTTGGCTTCTGTGGTAATTATTTTACATACTGTTTACATAAAATGATAGAAACAATTTGTATACGTGATTTGTTTTTTAAAATAACATTCCATAAGATGAATATGTTGACTATATTCGGTCCAAAAAATTGTTGGATTTACACATTTAATTAGATCAATATTTTTTTGTCGATTATAGGTTCTAATTATATATGTACATACTATATTGAGTAACTTAATGCATTTTTTGTTTTATTTCATGAACGTCTAATGAAATGTTTCAATGATTTTCTAAATAATATTTAAATACAAAGTATTTGTACACATTTAACAGTGTAAAATTTAATCAATGTCTCAATTTATTAAAACTAGTCAGTTGTCTCTTAAGTAGAGGAGTACTATTAAAAATAATAACTGTTATCAAAACTTTGTAGGCATAATATTATTATGTAAATATTTAAAAAAAAAAAATAAGTAATTACATAGAAGAATAATTGTATGAACAAGTTGAACATGAAACAAAACTAATAAAGTAGTTTATTAAAAAATAAAAATTAAGTAAGTATTATTACGGTGAAATATAATCAAATGCTTACAACTTTTATGAATAAAATATATATATACCTATTTCAAACTTGACATAATATGAGAATATGTTAGGTTTATCGTTGTTGTTCGAATTTGCATTAGCATACTTATAATACAACTTTATTCAAATCTTATTTTATAGCTTTATGGGAAACTATTTCTTTTATAGTAATTGCATGTCTTAAGAACTCAAAACTTATAATATAAAAGTATATTTCTAGAAAACGTTGAGTGTTGTGGTATGCATAGCCGTATAGGTATGGTTTAGAATTTTAGACACAATAATCTTATATTATCATTTTTCTCAAGAAAATAAAATCAATATCAGCACCAGTATAAATATTCACGTTATGTATAGTATGTATTAGCATCAAAATGTTTTCTTATGATAATATTTAGGTAATTATTATAACTCTTTTATAACGAATCGACGAAAAACAAATTATCAAAATTTAATAGCTTGGTACATATTATTATAAGTACTTATTGCCATATAGATTTGGAACTCCAGGTAATTGTTATAGCTGAAAGCCTTTTTATGAAAGGTAATAAATTATGATTGATTTATTTTATTATATTTCATAAATTGTTTATAAAATGAAAATAACGGGTTTTCGTAAAAAATATATAGAAACCTTTGTTTTCATATCGATCTTATCCATTTTATATAACTTGGTTTGTCGGTATAGTTTTATAAAAAAAAAAGTGTATTTTGTGCCATCTCCCTATACTTGACTCATTTAATCAAAACAATAGAATTGTTAATATAGGAAAAAAAATTAACTTTATTAACTTATGCATGAATATTGAATAAGTTAATATCTCAGCCAGGCTTATATACATGCAAATGCGTGAACGTAAATTTAATGTATGCATAATACGTTCATCTAAAGAGCGCCTTGCAGAGGAAAAAAATTAAAATATCAGTTGCCATGGAGGATATGGAAGGGGAAATATTTTAAAGTGATTTTGTTGTATAAAAATAACTATTTTACAAGTCTCCATTTTTCATTAACTTTATATGAGTGTACATGATGTTATTATGTATCAAAATATATAAATATGAATAAATTTTAAAATTAAGTAGAAAATACAACATTTTAACCATGTTATACCAAAATCGACTGGTCTCGGTTGGGCATTGAGGTTATTTAAAGAGTACGTAGTGTGTATTACCTGGTTGTGAAAGGAATATAACTGAACTGAAGTTAACATAGGTATATGAAAACATGATAGGTACACATAAATGGTTATGACTATGACAATATAATATTATATCTTTACACGACATTGTTTATGCGTATTCTTCAGTTCTTCGGAGACTCGTAGAACACCGACGGAGGTATATAATATTAAAATACTTCAGCTGCAGTTGTGCAGTTGTTTACGCGTATATATAGCTGTATACATATACCACCGAGGTGGAGGCCTCTACGGTGTTTACAACCATAATAATCGTTAACGCGGTACAACGACCGTAAAATAACAATATGTACAACTACAGCGACTACACGCGCACGGTCAGTAAACGGAAGGGTGGTTAAAAAATTTATTTTTATGACACATAAGGGCTTGGTTTGTTGAAAGTATTAAAAACAAAATCAAGTCCAAACATCGCATTATTGGTCAACCAAAAAATTTCGTCCAATGTATAGGTTTGCTCAATATCATACCTACTCAAATCGAAGTTTAAAACTGCAGTAAAATATGAAATATAGGTACCGAATTCAAAACACACATTTATATAAATATAAATTAGAATTTTTTTTAATTGTAGTAGCTTATATTAATGTATAAAGTTTTGCAACTAGGTACATAATAATATTATGCAGTTAAGAAACGACTTTAATATAAGGGTCGTTTTATTTACGATTATTATTTTCATTATTTTTATACCATTTTTGATTATATTAATAAATTAAAAAAAGTGTTTGTTGTATGCATACAATATTATTATATACATATATAGGCTAGTATGTGTTTCTTACTTCAGTATCAATAGATTCTATAAACGAGTAGGTATACTTCGTTTTTCAGTTATTTAGTGTTATAACTTAACAATTTAACTGTCTACATTTCTGTAAATTTTCGTGATTTAAAAAAAAAATTTAATATAGCAGGAAGATTTATGTAAGGTTTATTCAATTTTCAACATGTTTCAAGTATTTTAAATTTGAACAGTGATATTTTTAGATTTATTATTTGCTTCTAAGTTTTAACGCCTATTATTGAATTTTATTATTCTAAGCCAGGTAACTTCTGAACTATTATAGAATATGTAAGAGTATAATATTATCAAATATCGATCGAATGGTTTTTTGTTTAGGACGTTTATATATTTTTAACAAGAGAAGTGGAGTGGCAAGGGCCGATAATACTCTTCGAATTTAAACCCTGCGATGCTTTATGCTCTGGTCGTCTAAACCAGAGATTCTCAAACTTGTTTTCGTGTACCACACTTGTGAATTTTTATGGATAGGAAATGTAACTCTATTTTACTTTTTGACATTCAATACATTTTTAACAATAATAATTTAAGTACATTTAACAGTATATTTAGTACATATTTACTCAAACCATAGAATAATATCTAATACAACAATTAGTAAAAGTATTAATTCATTAACTGCCCGTACTGCCACCACACCCCCGGCTTACCACAGTTTGAGAACCACTGGTCCAAATTTTAAACTATAATAATTATACAATCTATAATTATATTGGATAAATCATAAATAGAATACATTTGACAAAACGATAATAGTTTATTAACGTCGAGACGGCTTATTATAACGGAACATGTTGTATACATCAATTAAACAGTTGTCGGAAATGACAAATTACTCGGCGTCAATACTCTGTTAATAATATATTATTTAAGTACCGTTGTACTTACCGGAAGTGGTCTGCTTGTCGGCCGAGTTGAGTGTGTAGGCGGTAAGCCACGTGCGGTCGCTGGTACCACGCGAGTTGTACGCGTACACTGCCAACCGGAGCCCGACGGACGGCGACAGCTGTCGGAGCGTGAAGTCCGGTCGGTCGGCCGTCAGGTTGGCCAACATGGGTGGCGCCGGTCCGTCTGCGGCCACCGCGGGCCCGCCGTACCCGTCGTCCGGACCATACGGCCCTCCGTCGGCGGCGCCAGCGCGGCCCGCCGAGTCGTACGCCTCCAGGGCGAAGCGTTGAGAGACGCCGCCGTCGAACCCTTGAGTGCACCATACGCGCACCGAGAACAGTGTCCGGTCACCGGAAGTGCAGTTGAATGGTGGATCGGGTCTCACTGCGATCCGAGAAAGGAACAGAATTAACGATCGCGAAAAGAAAAACCACAGTTTAATATAAAAGTATAAATAATCATTTTTAAGATTCCTGAATTCCGTTGTCGTCCGCGCGACGAGCTTGCAATTTAGCGGTACCATTGGAATTACAGATATACTATTAGGAATTCCAAATGGACAAAGGGTCTTGTCTTTTAGTAAAATGTGGATATATTTTGGTTGTGTAGAATCCGACTGCGTACGAATCACCTTTTTGGGAACACGATTGTGTATATTTATTTCTGCCTCCTATAAAGGACCCCTATAACACATAACGATTGCATACTAAATAGACTCTGACGTTGTCGAATTTTAAATTATACCATTTTAAAAGTAGCTATCAAGTTAAATATTTGTTGTCTGCAGCTTATAAAAAAAATCAAACGTTGTTTCAAGGAATTAATTAATTTTTGTTTGTAAATAATCTGAAGCATAAGACCATAGTTAAATATCATCATTAAAATAATTATTAAAAAAAAAAAATCAAATATGGTTAAGTATTTTGTATATTACCTATGTATATGTATAAATATGGTTAGCTGAACTCGCCGTCTATAGTCTAAAATAAACACGTTCTTGGAATATAATATTGTAAATTTGAGATAAATATATTTTTGTGAATTTTATATTTATTATTTATTTTAATTGGAATTTGAATATAAAATCAGTTAGTCACATCTAATTAAACGAAATGAAACTAAATATAACACCATATAACTTAAACCCTTGATTGAAAATCAGCTAAACACATGGTGATCGAATGGGAAACAAGAAGCCTACAACATGTACATCGTGTGAAGCAAATAACAATCAAACACATCTTCAAAAACTGCATATTATTCAAAGAAGCAAAATTAAAGTTCAACTTACATTCACTCAAACCTAATTCCTTTTAGCAATTTATTCTATTTTACATATTTTTATATGTAAAAAAAAATGTAATTTAATGTATTAGATTTTTATAAAAATATGTTTAAACTAATGGCCTTAGCAACTGAAATTGTATATGATCAATATTATTAATATTAAAACATATAAAAGTTAGTCAGATGATCCATTTATCCAATAACTATGAATTGAAATTAAGATAATTTTAATCATTATTTCAATTAGATCATCATTAATATAATCACTGCATGTCTACTGGGTGTTGCTGGGTGAGAACTATGAAATTGCTTGTTGTACATTTTATGGAAACTTTCTGGACCATTCAGTTTTAAACATTTATTTATTTATTTTTTATTTAGGTATATGCAATTCTAAAACTCATTAATTTTAGCAACATTGCACAAAATAAAATTAATTTAACGTAGGTACAGAACAGTGTCATGAAAAAGGTTAGGTACGCAATTGCTAGGCAGCGTTATATTATTATGAATACATATTTTGGTCGTCAATTCATCATATTGCCAGTTCAGTTTAACAAATTTGATTAAAAATGAAAAAACAATAAAAGGCTTAATATTGTAGCCATATTTGAAGCCGTCAATGGCCAGAACTATTTTCATTGTAAAATAATTAATTTAATTGCCGATCGTATGCAATACCTAGTATATTATCACATTATGTAATTTAATGATTACTAATAGTTGCTAACAATTACTGCGATGATTAAAACTATGGCAACGCAGTTGGTAAATATTAAACAAAGGCGTATATATAACATTAATAGGTAACTGATATCTATCACAATGAACACAATAAAATATAGAATTTTTTGAATTGTTCATATTGATCAAAGAGTAGCTAGTAGGCAGCCATTGTTATCAGTTGTTTTGACAAATCTATAAGTATAATAAACTAGGTGCTGTGCCTAAAAGGGTTATTTTACAAGTGGGCACAAAACGTATTTTTCTTAAACTATTTAAGTTTTAAACGTTTTCCAAATATAATAATGGGCCAATAATTATGAGCATGTAATTTATTTTAGGTAGTATTTTTTATAGCTCATAAAATACAAAATGTATTATACATTCCTATGACAGTATGACTAAATTTTCGAATGAAATATTGTTTTTATGATTTATTATTTTTGACCTTGTTATATGTTCGATATTTATAGACAGTGCAGTGGCTCAAATCAACCAGACATGTAATTATAATTATAATATATTTGGGTGTTCAATAATTTATACAGAAATAAATTGAAAATAATTGTTATACCAAACGTCCTGAAGCTGAATTTATGCACGTTCGTTTTATGCAAACAGAATTACATGAGTTATTGAAAAAATTAACGAAGAATAATCTTATAGTGTGTCATGTTGTAACACAACGCAAGCATAGATAATATAGCGTACACGTGATGCCGGACTTGAAACGTTTACGAGCCTCGGCCATACATTCACACTATGGAATAATAATATAATTATTACGTCCGTTATTATTATTACCTGGGGCGTTATTGAACGTAAACCACCGAGCTGAAAAGAAATAAGCGGGAAAAATTCGATGGCAATTATTGTAAAGCCGATCGAAATTTCCCCATCCAAAATGCATAGTATTTAAATGCACGTCGTATACCTACGTCTAATCCCCGTACGCAAAATGCAGCGAATGATTGCGAATTTCATTGTACCCGACGCTATTCGACTGCAGTATAGTTATTATTACCGGAAAACGCAATTGACCGTTGCCTTTTAATGTTTTTTAATTCGTTTATCCTGTGCCACGTGTAAATGTGTTATGCGGACGCGAATTCCGAGTCCTAATTTAACTATAAAACGCACGACAAATAGAAAATAACGAATCGATCGTACCGGATTTAATGATGATAATAATATGTGTAGCAGTTAGAGTTTAAATGGAAATTACGTTTTAAGCCACAACTATAAACATTGCAGTTTCAATTTACGTAATAAAATAGACATAGTACGTTGTATTGAGCGATAAACTATTATATCATTACTATTATTATTGTTTGTTAATTATAAATTAACGACATTTCTAATTAAGTGTAATCCATTAAAGTCGTCTGTTACCAATCTATTAAAATCCGATGATAAAACTCTTAATTCCAGTTTACGAGTTCATTACCTTTCCAAATATTCCAAATAATATTATTATTTCCACGTACCTATACCTACCAATAAGCAAGTTGGAATTTGACGTGAGTTAAGTCGGCCCGTCAAATATAAGCCAGTTCAGGGAAAATTAACGGTAAGTAAATTCTGAAAAATGATGAGCAAATTTATCAAAAGCGTCGAGTCCATACTTCGAAGTGTAAATACTAGATGAGGAGGATAAGGGGAGGAGAACATCAAGCACATTAGAAATTGAAAAATATTATTAAAGTGCAATTTATATGGTTTTTCGAAGAACTCTGGACATTTTATAGATTTGAAGTTCATTCAAAACCAAATTTGTCAGTCGTTCCAAGGTCTGAGGGTAAAAGATTTTTTCATTCTACTGAAATCAGCTTTTTTTCAGCAGACTTATCGAAAAGTGAATTTTATTGATACGCACACACGCTTGCAACGCTGCACATATTATTATCGTTGAAGATTTATTTTTATAGTAATGATTATTATTAGTATAGGAACTCACCGGCTGCGATCACGTGGAAAACGCAAGGCTCGATTTGCTGTCCGGCGGTGTTCGAAGCGCGGCAAGTGACAGTTCCGTAATCGTTGTCTCCAACGTTGCCTCCATTTCCACTGCCTCCACCACCGCCGCCCATTCCCATGACTGAAGGACTGTACGTGAGCACCGACGATAGTTTGCCTCGCTTTCCGGAAGACAAACCTCCACCGCCACTTCCGTTATCGCTTCCACCCGGTCGGGTGTGTTGGACCACCTCGTTGCTGCCGATTTCGGACGCCACGCCGCCTGTCCGATTGAACGTCCACTTGAATACGTCCGGTGCCGGATATGCATCCACCTCACACACAATTTCCGTGTTCTCGTTCCGAGCCACCCCATAAGTCAGCTTCTGGTTGTGTCTGCACACCGGTTTGTCTGCGGACCGCCCGAAAAAAACGCAATGATTACACATAATATTATGTTAAAGTATGTCTAGGGGTTCATTTGCATTATCTTATCCCGTCAAATCTTATGACTTTGAAAAAAATTAAATGTCTATTCTTTAATTCTTAAATATTTATAAAACATTGATTTAAATTTTTTTTAACAACAAACCGTAGTAATTTATTTTATGATATTCTAAATCAAAATAATTTCTAAAAATGTTTCAGTAATTGAACAATTTTAGATTTTTTTAATTAAATTTAGTATTATGATAAAAATCACAAAATATATCGTTGGTTTAAATACCTAATGAAGTGCCCAAGTTAAATTCATAAACTGCATATAGTACCTTGTACATCGATGTACAACCAGGTTAATAAAAGTTTACATCGTATGTGAATATAATGCCGAGATTTATCTACGTGCAATACGTTTGTATGTGAAAAAGTTGTACTAAAAAAAAATAACTACTTTTGACCATTACAATAAAGTTATAGGCCTCTATCCATATTCATTGAAATTACCTCTGACTGGAGGAGTTATATATTATTATTATTATTACTATTATTATTATTACTAACGGAAACTAACAGCAAACGTCCAAGTTCAACACAAAACGGGAATTTTTATATTAAAGTACCAAACAAATTTTTATTTATTAGAATAGTTCAACAATGCACTATTTTTATTTACAAGTATAATATTCATTATAATTATGTATTTTTACCAAATAATTTTATAGTTGTTAATACATTAAAAACCATTTTATGTTGTTAAAACTGTTTGTACTTTACATAATCATAGAATACACTTTAATCGAATAGTATAAGTTTAACTCTTAAAAATTCTTTCGAGGTTTGACCTATTAAAATTATTAAAAAACCATAATATACTAATTCTGTTTTGTAAGATCATTGTACAATTTTATTTTCGGTTCAAAAAGTTAAATAGAACATATATATAGGTATATCTTAATAAAATAAATGTTAATAAATCAAAGATTATTTATTATTTTTACTGCGTAATCCAATTTATTTATTAAGTTGTTAAGTCATAGCCACACTATTTGTTTGAAATTTAATTTGACTTGGTAAAATAAATATTCTAAAATAAAGTGTTATTTTATTTATGATATAATTGTTACGTTAATTAATCAAAACATAATATATACATTTTTTACCCTGGTTTGGTATTTTATTCAGATTAAATTGAATTTTTAAGGTATTCATAAATTAATGCATTAATGTAAATTATAATTTCAATAAGCATCAAGTCAATTCAGCAAATATAAAATATATATTAATACATTATTTAGGTATATTTTATAGAAATAATTCAGTTATATATAAGATGGAAATTTTATGCTATGTTTTTGTGTACATTACACTTTAAATAATGATACAGTGTAGGTATTATAATACCTTAAACAATACCATGAAAATTCAATTTAACTTGATAATGTTTTAAATGTTTGAAAAACATTTCATTAAATGTAACCGTAAGATAAAACTACACCAAATTGAATACAAATTCCCATTGGTTATAGTATAACATTTACAATGTATTATTATTTGATAAAAATGTATTATAGTAAATAAATTCAATGCCGTTATTAGAAAATATGTTTTAAGTAAATTGGATTATTCGAATCGTAAAATGTACAAATTAAAAAACAAAACTATACTCATTGAGTTCATAAAATTATATTTAAGTTTATTATAAATGGTAGCGTTTTTCAAAGTGAAATAATAGGATATTAATAGGATTTTAAATTTTATAACAACTGAAATGTATTAATATTGTTTGGAACCTACCTTAAATCAAGTATCAAAACTATAGTAATAACATTAATAATATAAAATATCGTTGAGAAATAAGTATCGTCAATTATTATTTTTTCTTAGAAAATAAACATATTGTAATCGTCCAATTTTCAATTTGACCAAACATCTTAAATTTAAAAGTTTCATAAGTTTTTGTTTGCACGTATACATAAAACTGATGTTCTGTGGTGGACAGACTACATACTATGTATGTGCTGAGAATGCGTACAAAGTTTTATTAAAACACTTTTCCTCTATTGCTAAAACCACAGTGGATAAACTGGGTGTTTATCAGATTACATAAACGACAACTGTCTAATACGGGGCAGCCGGTAGGCAATTTCGCTACGTTCTCGTAATCAACTGAAACGTGTTGTCGGACGTGAACCGTGTGTGTTGTAATAATAGTTTTATTTTGAGTTATTCTCAACGCGAGTTCCATATTAAAAATTACGTGTTTGCTAATAATTTAAATTTCATTCTTATTGTTTATATTATTATCATTCTGTTGATTAGTATTGATTTTATTAAAAGAGCTAAGAATACATTAGTCGAACAGTAGTTGTTATACATTTTGTATACAGGTCAAGGTAGTTTTTAATTTTTTTACAACGCTCACATTATTGTTAAGAGTTTCAAAAATAGTTTGACCAACTATCAATAAAATAACTTAATTATACATTATTTTTGGATTGCGTGATAAACGTACTATACGTTCTATCATTCACGCATAAGCAGCCTAAAATAGTAAAATATCCTAATATTACAATTAGTCGTTTTCAACTAGACTCGGATTTTCCTGTACATCGTAGATATTATAATATGAGTAAATATTATCATAAATTGCCCTTACACATGACTGTTAGCCGGACGACGTTGCTCTCACCGTCCCCCTCCACGTTGCTAGCCAAGCACGAATAGTTACCCGCCTGCTGTCTCTTGACGTTTTGAAGTGCCAGGTCCTTTTGATTCATAATCACGCCGCTTTTCACATTTCCCTGGACCACTTGACCCTGTGTCCGGTGAACAGAAAACAAACACATGTAGGTATTCATTACTAAAACGCACTCATTACCCTGGACTGTATTCAAGGCATTATATTTTTCACGTGAAAAATGAATGAATTCAGCGATAGAAACTTTACGGAGTAATCAGAAAAACACACATATATGCTTCACATAACACTCGAATGGAACTGTTTTTTTTAAATATATTTTTTTTATACCCACGCAAAATATTTCGCCACACGAACTTTACCGTGTTCTAATAATAACACTAAAATAATCACATGATTTTTAATATTAATTGTACATGTTAACATAAATTTAATGATGGATCCTTGAATTTTGAACAGTTAACTGTACCAAAAATAACTTACCTATGGTTTAAAATAAATATGTGACTTGTAAATCGAGATCGTACAGGTTTTTTTTTAAAAAATGGTACACAATAAAATATACTGAATAAATTAGTAAATTTCACAACAATGATTCAGTTATTCAAAGTTTAACACTATAATAAACCTACATATTATGTCATAAGTTTTTTGATTATTTAACTGACACAGGATTATTCACTTTCATATTAATACACTAATACGGAATTGCAACTTTGTTTGTTTGCTTATAAAATAATATCCGAGAACAATTTATTTAGTACTGAAATCTAAAATATAGATACAATTATTAGAAATATGCTTGACATAATACATTTTGTTTTCAAATTTATTTTATAAATACTACCAGTCCACCACGACTACCCAAGACTTAAAAAAAAAAAAAAATATGATAATAAATTCCGTTTCGTGCTGTATTTTAATTTTTTTATTCATATAATTATTGAGAAATATAACGATGACAAAATGGATATCAATTACTACTTTTGTGTTTAACCTACATCACAGAACGGATTAAGTCTATGGATGACATAGACGTACACCATAATATAATGGACGTCTTATTGAAATATAATGGAAAATAAAAATAATGAACTGAAAATATAGTTATGAAAAGTAATTACTAAGATGTTTTGACGAAATAAAAATAAATGAGAAAAAAACCAACGTGTCTATTACACCACAGCGTGAGTTCTAATATTTATGTTATGGATGGGTAAAACATTTCCAATCAAGAAGTTAGCGAGCACCAGTATAACATGGCCGGCACCTTGTTTATCTTTTCTTTCAAATTAGCAGCGCTGGAGGTTGTATTAATCAGACAGGTATTGGAAGAATGCAGTAAAGTATATTTAAAACCGTCTGTGTAACAAGGGCCACGTCGCCGTAGAATAAAATAATATGTTAGAACCAATAGTTGATTTTTTATTTATTTTTTTTTTTATAAATTGTTTGACGTCCGTTCGCTGTTTCTGTGCGTTCGTTGCGAGCGCTAGGGGAGACGTAAATTTACGAGCATCGTTTATGTATGCACAAAACTCAAAAGCGCTCAGTCACGTCCTACAAAAACCTTAACTTGTTGATCCCGTGGACAAGAGGTTTCCATCACTAACTGCAGAATACACAAACGTACACTTTAGATGCAATCGCGCTGTGAGGGAGTTCGGAGGCGGTGCAGTGTGATAGCGGATTTTCTTAAGACGCTCCCTGAGAACTGCAATTATATAATATACGGGTATAGTATCTTTTAACGGAGGTTATCATTTTATGTCTCTTCATTAACGCCACTACTGTATTGTAAGTATAAAATAGGCCGTCCTCCATCTATATGTAACTCCCCTCTGTTTGGCAACAGCACAAAAGACATCCGACGGAGACGAGCATTTTTTAATTTTATTTTCAATAGTAAACAATTATTCTATTATGCAGTTTACAGCTCGTGATAAACGTCTATAAATTTGTATATACACTGAATTTTAAATTGCAATCAGTTAACTGCATATTTTCTTTGGCGGTACTTGTATACACAATTTATTATATTACATTAACTAAACAGAAAATATATTAATTTTGGAAATTCCGAGGATGACTTACGTTATGCTTCCAAATCACTTTATAGGCGGGTGGGTTGGCATCGATCTTGCACTCGAAATACACATCGTCGCCTTCTTCAATGTCTGCTGGATTCATGTTGATTCCCAAAGCCAGTTTCAATATCGGTACGTCTGAAACAAATAAATAGAATTCGTATGAAATATTTAAATAAAATATTGTGTGCATGATTCAACAAGGAGTCGTAGGTTTCAACAAATCACAATAATATAATTCAATAAATGGTTCAATACCTTATTTTTCTGATCCAGACAGGACTATATGATATTAATATTTTAAAGCTTTAAAATCGTATTAATTGAAATTTTGAAGAATGCTTTATAAATTATTGTTTACATGTAATATTGTAATTTATGAACCTAACGAATCAACACTTGAAATTTATTTCATTGCAAAAAGCGCATGATTGTATAATGCAATAAGAAGAATTAATATAAATCAACTATCAAGGGGAAATATAATAATGTGCGTAATACCTATTGTATATTTAAAATAACAGATTTCAATAATATAATATCATCGATATATTAAATTTCATATTTGTTTAATTAAATTAAATATAATTGTTATAATGGTTTATATTGTAATATTGTATAAACATAGAAAGCTTGATTTTACAACTGCAATGAAATATAACAAAATATATGTTAACTTTATTTTGCTCTTTTAAATAAATAATATAATAAATACAAATTATATAGTATTATATTATGTAAAAACATAATAATATTTATTTGGTTTCAGTTTTATTAAGTCAATCAGAAATATTTTATGTTTTGGAATCAGAAAAACATTTCCAATAACATGTTGGTATGTGTACATAATCTAATTATAAATAATTATTGGTTAACACGATTCATCATGTATTTATATGTTATTGTACATGCTCGACGACGTATTATGTATATTGTATAAGTATAAAATTCTACTAAAAAATAAATTGATAAGAAACCATTTATATTATGTAATTATTAAGGCGCATTCACTGATACGTCGTATGTCGTGTCGTGTCAATAAAACCACATTATGATTGTACGTTACTTTTTTCGTATCTTGTAACAACCAAGTTGGAACCTAGTATACCAAGAATTAACTACGGCACAACTGTTAAACCCATATGGTCACCAGTTGTTACCACATATAGTTACCACACCCTCACATGACAAGACACTCGGCGTAGCTGTAAATCCGAGGTTGGTTAGGAATATTTTTATTTAATTTTCGACATAATTACAACCCGTTAATTAATACAGTTATTGTAATTTTATTTGGTTCGTTTTTCTTATAATTTTGATGAAAGATTTTTTTATAGATCGATTTAATGAAGAACATTATTATTTTGTATTAGACATATAAACTAAATCACTTACAGTGCACATCAATTGTCCATGAGTCTTCCACTTTACCACCAGCCATCTCCTCTAACTGTTGTACGTTTTGGTTTTCAGCACGGCATACCAATGATTTACCGTTATCTGATTTTGTTGGTTGGAAAGTTAAAGTTGATGATGTTACGTTGCCATCCGGTGATACCTGTTGGATAAAAACAAATAAGCTTAATATTAGTATACGTTTTCGTTGAAGTTAGTTCAAAAGCAAAGTTATTTTCTGTTTCTTAATATTCGTCGATATCCAATTATTGAAGTGTAAAGTTTACATTTTGCTCATAAATAATGCCATTTTAAATTAAGGAATGTATTGGAAACTTAATTAATAGTTTTTAAGGTTTTAATAAGACAATTATTTACACTATAGAATATTAATAAAGTTTTTTAATAGGAAGTTTGTTTTAGTAAAAATATATAACACAATTAATATTTAAAATTATCATAAATATAATATAATATGGCTATTAAATATTATAAGTAAAATTAAAATTAATTGTTAAGACTATAATTTCATTTTTTTTATTCAAAGTAAAATTAGTTTAAATTTATAAATTTATCACATTCTAAATTTCAAGTTTAAATTATAAAACTTAAATAAATCACATTTCACACAATTAAAAAATAAACATTTCTAGTTTCTGCTCATACAATTAAATATTCAATAAAAATTAACCTTAGAATTTTCAAGCGCATGCATTCTTGTAGGATATGAGACTTCCTTCATTATACGACATACTATTTCTGAAACTACCTACACATATTTTAACAGGGAAATACAATAATATAGATTAATTGCACCTAAGTATACACATAGACATGTTTAAGTTCAGGGATAACCTCACACATTTCCTGGTGTTATAGTTATGGGGAGAGTGGGAGAAAATGTAATGATAATATTTTAGGTTCTGAGCCCAGCGATTATAGTATTGATTTACAATGATATGTGTTTATTTTGTTTTTTGTATTTGTCATCACCTTTAGGAGAAGTTAAAATGCTTAGATATTCATCTTAAATATTTTTTCTAGTAAGAAAGTGAATTTTGTTTCTAGGGCGGGTGTAAAAATTAAAAAAATCTCAGTATTCTTCTAATAATCAAGAAAGGAAAGTGTCAAATTTGTACCCAAATCCAAAACCAAACGATACGGTTTTTTTGTAAGCAAGAAGTTGTAAGAAGTTTAAATGTTGACAAAATTCATCAAAACTTCGAAAATTTGAAATTTATTTTGTAGTAATAAATCTATAAAATGTTCAATTTGTATAGCTTAATCTAAACAAAATGTCTAAACAATATTAAAGTAATATTTATACAGAGAATAACAATATTAATTATTATCTTGTAAGTCAAAAATATTCATGATATTAATAATTTAATAAATTAAACCTTTTCATCACACAATAAATAAACATTCCGTGTTATAACAGTAAAATAAATTACTTCTACAGCAAATATCGAAATATATAACATCGTGAAATATACTTAGTGATACTGACTGACTGAATGATTTATCATTTAATTTTAATTTAACACATGCATAGTATAATGACTTGCTCAATAATGGTGTACACTATAGGCATCTATTGTAGTGCACAACTATTCCCTACTTTTTTTCATTTTTTGTATATAAGATTAATATGCATAGTTTAAAAATACTTGTATTAAATTATAAATGTCTAAATTTGATAAATTATTGTCACTGTCGTTCATTCTGACTTCATTCAGTGCTCAACACTTAATGTTTATACCGATTCTATGATTAAGTCATCGAAATAAAATAAATACATTTGACATTTTGACGTGTAACTGATAGCCAGAAGAACCAGCAAGGCCATATTGTGTAAATTAGTGAATGAAGAAGTATACGAAAGAAGTTTCATCAATTTCATCATGACGGAGGTTGACAAGGATCGTGCAAAGTTTAAGATTTTTAATACAATTTTAGACAACCGGTAAAGGTGTGCACAAAAATATCACTTGATTAAGTATCTTCAGTGCCTACTTGGGACCAATCATTCCAGAAAAATAAATATTTTTTGCTATTAAATTTTATGAATCAAATCATATATGTATAGTGTTTACTGTTTAAACTATAATATACGATTTGAATTCGCTTTTTTTTAGGCACCTATATAGACTTGAAATGTAGAACTTGGTAAAAAGCGATAATTTATGTCCAAGGGAGGTATAAAAAAAGAGAGATTTAATAATAATATAAAAAGATTTTTACGTACAACATAAAATTTTGTCACAATAACTGTATATTTATGAATGAACGAACTTTTTATGTAAATACTAAAAACTGTATTTGTTGTACTTAGTCGTAGGATATTTTGTCGTCAAAGAAAAAATCACGATGGTAGTTTGTTATGATCAGATTTCAAAAATATTTGTGTGTCAGTACAAAGTTTAAAATCCAATCCAAAGATAAAATTAAATAGCATCTGCCATCGTGATCATAAATATAAATTGAGTTTATTTTTATATTTTAAATTTACAACCTATTCATAATAAACGAATTATTATGATATATTAAAAAACTTTTTAAACAGTTAATATAAAAACCCAAACTCCAATAATTTAACGGTAGGTCAATAATTTTCGACAAATATTTAAAATTAGTACCTATCATAAGTTTAACAAAATGTGAAATTCGTGATATATTATACTGGTATTATTATTTATTATTTAAATATTCAACACTAAACGATTAATAAAAACAGATTGCAAAATATAACTTTACAAATCGTATTGTTTGATGTGGAATTTTCGATTAATAATTCATATCTTAGTAAATTATTTCCAAGTACATAAAAAATATTAAGTTCACGCTAGACATTTACAGTGTAATATTCTACGAATTATGAAATTGACACACTTGTATTTTTTAATGTGTACTATTTTCCCGCTAATATAAAGTTTACTATAGCTATGTACCTCATATGAAATATATTTAGAGAGATAGAGGTTGTGTTAAAATGTTGTATACCATTTTGTTATTTTGTTAAAAAAAAATTGGGTGCGAAACTAAGTCTGTGTAATTATAACTATCTGTTTGGAAATTATAAAAGAATCTTTTGGCTATTAGCTTTATCTGTACCACACGACGGTTACAATAATACGTTAATGTTTTATGTTCAAATAAATATATTACATACGGTCCAAAGGCTAACCAGGTAAGTACAAAAGTAAACTGGGTATTGGGTATAGATTTCATCCCATTAGGTTTGACGAAACGATTTTTCGCTCAATTAATTGTTTTGGTACGTTATAAAAATATTTATTACTGACGCTGTGATTGAAAATTAAATAGTATTTTTGGTTTCAACTTCAACAACTGTAAAATGTAATCTCTGAGATTTTGTTCGGTAAAAATGTCGAGTTTAGATGAATGTATAAGAAAAAAAATGGCACTGCAGGCGTGGAAGATTATCGTACGGTTTTTGATTTTCAAATTTTCATTGTGCTTATGATATAATATTATACTTTGTTCCAACGATTCGTGCACGGGTCCTCTTTAAAATCGTTAGTGCCGTGGCCTCCTAACGCCTCGTAATAATTTCGGCTGTGTATTAATTATGTAGGTATACGTGTGCGGTTCTCGAGACGTACCTACCCTAAATAATGCACTGCACGCAGATAAGCGCAATTAAATTTTAATTTAAGCCCGGCGACGTAGTTTCGCGCTCAGAAAGAAAAACCAAACTGAACGTCACGCGTTGTCAACCGTCGTTGGATTTCGAGAAATGCAGCGCTGCACCCGACAAACGAAATAAAAATAATTAAATTAAACATGGTAGGTATGCCTATTTAATATCAGATGACATTTCAGGACGACGCGGTCTCTTACAGCGCGAATCCCTTTTTTGATTTTGTTCCGTTTACGAAACGTCGCGGTGCTTATCAGTATAACCGTAGAGTTTGCCCGGAAAGGGTCGCTCAACGAACATTTAGCGGTTATGTCTCAGTGCGAGGGATGGGGCCGTGTAGGGGGTGGTTTCCGAGAGGTAAAAGCACGCACAGATTAGCCAGCGGGCTGGTTGTCGGTGGTGTTGGTGTATGATATTCTTTACTTACACACACACACACACACACACACACACACACACACTTTAGTGTAGTACTTACGGTCTGTGTAGCATTGGTCAACCTCTCGTTGTCCTTCCACCACGTCACGTTGGCCGGCGGCTTGGAGCCCACCGCTTGACACTGCACCTCGTACGTCCTGCCACAACTAAGCGGCTGCCTGCTGCTGAGCACTTGCACTTCCAACGGTTTCACTGTGGGGCAAATGAAACGAGTTGATTATTACAAAAGAATATTGTCATGGCCAGTAATATTATTTGTTATAATGCATTATGTTAATATATAATTCGTATACTGAAAGGAAATTTACAATAAAAAATTTTAAAATTAATTTTACTTTGGTAACAGGATAACACTGTTTTATATCAAAATGATTATATTATGGACATTCATGGAATTATCCATAATATTCTCCTAAACATTTCTCAAAAATGTTTCATAAATGTAACATTGCTATATGCACAGTGTCATGTTATTTTTATTATTCGTGTGCGACGATTGTGCACATTACATGTAATATCAATATAATATTATCACTGTGTCTTACAATGAACAAAAATATTGACGCCAGTGTATTTGTAGAAAACGTGTTTCGTTATGAAGTTTATCATTATCGCTTATTTGAAATGAGTATGTCAGTGTAATGATGGAGTGTGATATATATTTTGAATTTGCGTTTGATTTTTAATTGGCTCTGGACCATCCAAAAGTTTCATTCAGACATAACCTTTCTATCCATCAGCAATCTATAGTCAAATAGCCAATAGTTGGTAAATCAATAGAGAGGTTGTATTAAAGTGTCATAAATATACATATATAGTTTGTATAAGAACTTAGAAAACTACAGATTCAATATATTATAAAATAATATAATTTGGAATTTCAAGCATCAAAAATAAATCAATTAAAAATAATAATATCTAAGTAATTGTTTAATAAATACTTTTAATAGTATAAATTTAAACAACGGATTTCGACTTATTTTCGATACGACGCCTTTTTTCGTTAGATCTAACTTTGAGGGCGAATGCAATTTCGATTTTAACCGTGCACCGAGCAAAACAATTACGATTACTTTGTCCATTCTTATTTTTTACATTAACTTTTTTCAGAATCATTCATTTTTATTTAAGATCAGCAAATTTGATTTTTAAAAGTCTATTGATCTTTGAGTAAAATAAATATTTAATTAAATTCCAATATAGTCGAATTTAGTATTTTAGTTCAAAGTAGCTGGTGTGTAAAGTCTAAAATCAAAGTTTATTAATTTTGAAAGTTTGAATTGGGTTATTAGTCATTGACTAGTCATTTAAACTGATATTTAGAATATTTTTTAATTTTAAACACACATTTTAAAAGTCCGATGGAAAAGTTGTTACAAAGTTACATACAAAATTGTTTACAGTTCGTGTTCACTGCCCGACCGTGCTACACGTCTGTTTCGCATATTATCGCATTTATAGCTTTCGATAGCAGTATACACCCGTACAATCAACGTGCAGGTAATATGTTTATCTTTATTGCACTAGTAACACCAATTAAATAATATCCCAACAATGGGTGATAAGCCTATTTCCACTAACAGTCCTTCTCAACACACACTTAACAATCAAACATTTGCAGAGATAGCTTCAAATACCACTTTACCGAAAATGAACCAAGCAATCGTTTTCAATTCCATCAATAACATTAAACAAATTGAATATGTATCGGCAATCAGTAAAATCGTACCTGCTGAGAACATCATATTTGTTTCGCGTATTTCCAACAACAGATTTTGCGTCTTTTTTAACAGCCAAGCCGTTATGGAAAATTTACTAAAAACTCATTCATCAATTCACGTCAATGGTATTGATATTCCTATTCGAAGACTTATTAACGCTTCTAAGAGAATCATTTTATCAAATGTTTACCCTACCATTCCCAATCAACTCATATTAAACGCTCTCCATCAACTAGGAATCAAAACTACGTCACAAATTACACACATGAAAGCTGGATTCGCTACAGAGCAATTTTCACACATACTTAGTTTCAGAAGACAAATATACATAAATCAAGATAGCGCGACCAAACTACCTAATTCAATCACCGTAACCGTAGAGAACACTACGTTCAGAATATTTATCACTGATGATATCGTAACTTGTTTCCAATGCCACCAAACTGGTCATTTTTCTAGCCAATGCAAAAATATACCTGATCCAATTAATGTCATTAATGAGACCGAAACCGTAACGGAAACCCTTATTGATTTATCATCAACTACAATTGAAGATAATAACTTATCTTCTTCGTTACCTATTGTCAGTACTCAAAATAATCATAACACAAAGGATAGTGAAAGTGTATTATTAGACCAAGCGGTTGACAAAGATATTATTACTTCATATGAACAGCCAAATAAACCTTCACTGATTGACAAACTTAAATTGACTGCTAACCATAGAACCAAAGTACCGCCTCTTCAGCCAGCCAAACGTCCAGCTCCTTCTACCTCATCTGCGTCTCAGCCTTCATCACCAAAATCGTTTCAACCATCTAGCCCTCCTCCCCCATCAACCATGAAGCCTCCTGGCAGCAACACACTTGATGGTCGAACCCAACAAACCAAAAACCCAAAAGGTAGTGTAAGCAAAAAACTAAAAGTAAGGACCAATTCCATCTCCAATGATACAGTACATACAAACATTGATGAATGTTTAGATTCCACTCGAGATCTGTTTGACACACACCTGGATTTTTCTTTAACCTTTGACCAATTTAGAGATTTCTTCGAAAGTTCAAAAGGTTGCTCCGATCTCGAAAATGTATGTAACAAATACGCTTGTAGTCCAGATGATATTTTAGAAATTATTTCAACTATTTACCCTAATGTAACAGTTAAAAGCGCTAAAAATCGTCTAACCAGATTATCTAATGCATTGAAAAAAATAATTCAAGACTTCAATGCCTGTCAGAACGCGGATCCTGACGGGGATGATGATGAAACCTTCTAGTAAACCATCAACCCTATACAAACAACATATACCAAATAAATAATTCCAACCAACCATGAATAATAACATCTTTCATATCATCCAATGGAATCCTAATGGATTCTACTCAAAAATCGACGAAATAAAACTTATAATCAACAGGTTCTCTCCAGTAGCTCTATGTATACAAGAAACCAACTTCATCGATAACAAATCAGGGTCTTTAAAAAATTATGTAAACTTTTTCAAAAACAGAACCAACCATATTAGGGCTAGTGGAGGAGTGGCCACCTTTATCAATACACAATATCCCTCTGAAGAAATCACCCTTATCACAAACCTAGAAGCAGTAGCAGTAAGAATTTCTGTCAAATATAAACTAACTATTTGTAATTTGTACATACCTAACTCGCAGATCCTCAGTTACACTGACATCCAAAACATTATCGACCAACTACCTACGCCTTTTATAATTCTGGGTGACTTCAACAGTCACAATATCTTGTGGGGCTGCAATGACACTGATCAAAGAGGAAGAATTATAGAAAAAATACTCGATAACAACAACAACATCAATATTCTCAACAACGGTCAAGCAACAAGAATAAGCGCTAGTACAGGAAACCTCTCGGCAATTGATCTCTCTTTTTCTTCGTCAACTATTACACCTCATTTTGAATGGAACACAATGCCTGAGCTCTCTAGTAGCGACCATTTTCCAATTAAACTAACCTTGAAGTATACCAACCCTGACGAAAAACACACTCGTAGTCTTAAATGGAAACTGAAAAATGCCAACTGGGATACCTACCAAGCAGAAATTGAAAAAAATATAATTAATCGTTCCCTTTCTTTTTTAAATAATAATGATGTAGAGGATACTATGGAGGAACTCAGTAATTTAATTTATAACACGGCATCCAATATTTTTGAACAAAATAGTTACTCTGGGAAACGACCACCAGTACCATGGTGGAACAAAACCATCAAACATGCTATAAGGAACAAAAAAACTACCTTCAATAAATTCAAACGCACAAATGATTTCAATGATTTTATTGAATTTAAAAAATACAAAGCATTAGTCCGGTATTTAATAAAAAACGAAAAAAAAAAATCTTGGATAAAATTTACGACAGACCTTAACAGCAAAGAGTCGACAACCAACATCTGGAAAAAAATTAAAGTCATTAAAGGCATTCCCACGTCTCAAATAAAAACCATTTTATCTGAAAATTCTATACTTACGGAACCTCATGAAATAGCCCAATCAATTGGCCAATATTTCTATACTAACAGCAGCAACCTTTCATTAACCCACGATTTTCTCAAGTTTAAACAAGAAAAAGAAAATGAAATTGATACCACAACTAATCTATTACCCAATATTGGCCTAGGCGACAGTTTAAATGAACCCATTACCATGCCTGAAATTGAATTTTGTCTCCGTGGAAATAAAAGCAAAAGTTGTGGATCCGATAAAATTCCATTCATATTCTTACAAAACCTACCTTCTAGTGGAAAGTTTCTTCTACTACGTCTCTACAACCTAATTTGGGAAACAGGCTTAATCCCGATTAAATGGAAAAATGCAATCATCACACCCATACCAAAAAATAATCAAAACAGCTTTAAACCTACAGGATATCGACCAATATCGGTACTCTGCAGCATGAGCAAGTTATTAGAAAAAATTATCTACAACCGACTAAGTTGGTACGCAATTCATCATAAACTCCTTTCACCATGTCAACATGGTTTTCGAAAACACCACTCAACCACCGACTGCCACGTAAAAATTGAAACCGAAGTCATAGAAACTTTTGCCAATAAACAATCAATGATACTAATAAGTCTCGATTTACAAAAGGCATACGACACGGTTTGGTGACATAGAGTAATCAATTTATTAAAGAATTGGAACATACATGGAAACATGCTAATCTTCCTAACCAACTTCCTAAACCAACGATCCTTCCAAGTTAAAATCAGAGATCAAACATCGAATACATTCATGTTAGAAAATGGAGTGCCTCAAGGCTCTCCACTCAGCATTTTTTTATTTCAAACAGCAATTAACAACCTGCCCAGTATCATCACAAACCCTGTAAAATCAATTATTTTTGCAGACGACACTTACATATATATTCGAGGTACGCAAATTTCTGTAATGACCGGAACACTCCAAAAATGCCTCAATGACCTGTTTGAATGGTGCTTCAAAGCCGGTTTCATTTTTTCGCCTCAAAAGACAAAATGTATTTTATTTTCGAATAAAAGGAAACTAACGAAACCAAAACTCTTTCTAGGTACATCTCGTTTACCCTTTGTTGAAGACATTTCAATACTTGGTCTCACTTTCGATAAAAAGCTTTCTTGGAGATCCCATATTATGTCACTCAAAAAAAATTCATATAAAAGCCTTAATGTCATCAAATCATTAAGTCATTGTGAATGGGGCGCTGAAGGAACCATATTATTAAATGTATATAGATCGCTTGTAAGATCCAAACTCGATTATGGTTCAATTTGTTACGGAAACTCAGAATCAAAGCTCTTACAAATTGTTGATACAATCCACAATGCCGGACTGAGATTTTCAATTGGAGCATTCAAAAGCAGCCCGATTGTTA